CCCCAGGCGTATTGGTGTTTTCCCCGACCTCGTGGACGAGCTTTCGTTGCGTGTTGCCCTCAAGATGCTGAAATAAGGACCTGTTCGGGTTCGTCAGTGGCTCGATGTTCCTCAGGTCTTCCGTGATTGTTCCTCTTGCGCTCCTCGTGCCCCCAGGCACATTTGGACGAAAAAGGTGGTTTCGTTCCTTATTCAGAGTTCCTCGTGGTAGCACTTCGACTACAGCTCTCTGTTCTACGCCCGCCGCCACGCGTCCCACGCCGGCAGAACAACGGGCAGAAGGCGGCAGAGCTCCGGCGGAGGTTGGCGGAAAACCCGCCGCAGGGCCTTGGAGGGCCCATCTGCCCATCCATCGCGCTTCCAAGATTGACACGAGGTCCACAAGAGGGCACCACGACGCATAACGAGGCCTCCTGGTGATGTTTTGCTGGCCTCAAGACGGCCCAGGAGGGCCTGATCAAGCCTGCAATCTGGCTTCAAGTTGGAGAGCCCAAGGAGAGCCCACTCAATCTAAGCTCATCCTCGCGACAGCAGACTTCTGGGCCGTCTTGGGTCCCACCAGTGGCTCTCTTGAGTGCCCATTGAGGCACCCAAGCCCGTCACAGATTTTACACGACCTGCTTCCTCCAGGGAGCCATTGTCGTGCCGCCTCTGTGTCTAAATCGTGTCGGTTGTCAGCAGCCCCCCTCCCCCCAGGCAGCCCCACGAGGCTTGCCGGGGGCCGCCTCTGGGGCCGCCTCTCGGCAGGTCTCTGGGCCGTCTTGGGCCTGGCTGAAGGCCCTGCTGCGGGCCCACGGGATCGCCCAAACCGGGTACGGTCGGGCCGAGGGATCAGGTCAAGGTCGGCTCGCTGAGGGTACCCTGATGTTTTTCGTGCTTGTTGGATGTTCTTGAACATCCTGGGGAGGGTGCCCTCGGATGTCCTCTGTGTTTTGGCCGACGGAGGGCCTCATGTTATCGAAATATGTTTTTCTCTCACAGGTCCGACTGTACAGATTTCACACAGCCCGCTTCCTGCAGGGATGCCCGGTTGCGCCAGCTCTGTTTCGCGACTGTGTCGGTTCTGGGTGTTCCGAGCTGACCCCGCGACAGCCCCGAGAGGCCGAACACGGGAGCGAATAGGGGGCACATTGCCTGCACCCCCTTCCTTACCTACTTCTCTGCTTGTTGTCGCAAGTCCTGCCACCCTGTGCTCCAAGGGTGGTCTTCGGGCTTCGGGGTACAACACGTTGACTGCTGAGGGAGGGGTGTAAGAGGGTGCTCAGCAGGGTGAGGATACTTAGGACGAAAGAGGAGGATGAGCATGTGAAAGAGGAGGAGGAGGAGGAGGAGGAGGAGGAGGAGGAGGAGGGGGAGCAGAGGGGCAAGGGGGGAACGGAGGTTGGAAGAACGATGCGGAGGAAGAGCAGGGAAGTAGGGGGGCGAATGATTGAACGGGGTGACATAGATGAGGGATACGGAGGGGGAGGGAGGGATAGGAAAGGAGGGATGAGGATGATGAGGAGGAGTATTGGACGATGGACAAGGCGGACAGGGATGAAGAGGATGAGGGTTCGGAGGGAGGACGGAAGGGGGGAGGCATGAATTTGTTCGGAAGAGGGGAAAGGGAGCATCGCTAGGATGCAAGCAGAAAATCGGTCCCCTCGTACTCGTTCTCGCCCTCCTCGTCCTCCTCCACGTTCATCGTAAGGAGGAGGAGGGGGAGGAGGAGAGGGAGGAGGAGGGGGAGCAGGAGGAGGAGGAGGAGGAGCAGGAGGAGGAGAAGGAGGAGTCTGCTCGAGCCGGTGGGCTACTTCCCGCCTTTTGCTTGCAAGCCGCGGTCCCCAGCTGCGACCGTTTCAATGGCCGCGGCTAGTTGTCGTCAGCATTCTCGCTCTCGCCTCACCATCGCATCTCGTTCTTCTCATCCTCATCTTCCTCCTCCTCCTCCTTCTCCTCCTCCTCCTCCTCCTCCCCCTCCTCCTCCTCCTCCTCCTCCTTCTCCTCCCCCCCTCTTCTTCCTCCTAGAGAAGTACTGAGCATCTACAGTCTGCACACAACTGCTTGGTGGCTGTTTGTGTCCGTGGTGGTGGGTTGGGTGCAGTTCCCCCTACGCCACACCCCTGACACGCCTGGCGGAGTTCACGACAGCTTGTGCCCCATGCTATCACTCGCTGCGGCAGCGTCGCCTGGCCGGCGAAGGCAACGCGTGCGCACTGGTTCAGGAAACCGCGAGGATGCCGCCCACGACGGGCGCCCAGCGACATCCTCGCCGGCCCCCGCTCTGCGGCAGGCCTCGGGGCTCTCCGGGGTCACTCGCTCGCCCCTGGTGATTTTCTCTCTCGTGTGTGTGTGTGTGTGTGTTGTGTGGTTTTCCGCGAGGCCTCCGCGCCCTGCCTGCCTGCGGGGCGGGGGGGCTCGAGAGGTTGGCAGCGTGCGCCAGGGAGGAGGACGAACAACAAACACCGTAGCACCCCGCAGTTGCGGATACGAGTGAGGGGGCGGCGGGGACGTCGGCAGTCTGCGAGGCTCTCAAGAAGCCCGCCGCAGGCGCCAATCCGTTACAAATTATACAACGAGCCCGCCGCAGGGGCCGATTTCTTCGTTAAAGCAATGTTGGTGGGTCGCGGGGCGGATTGCAGGTGGGTCGCGTGTGAGTCGCTGGTGGGTCGCGGCTGGGTCGCGGGCCGGGTCGCGGGTGGATTGTGGGTGGGTCGCGGGCCGGGTCGCGGGCCGGGTCGCGGGTGGGTCGCGGGGAGGGTCGCGGGTGGGCCGCGGGGTGGGTCGTGGGTGGGTCGCGGGTGGGTCGTGGGGAGGGTCGCGGGGGGGACGACGAGGATGACGACGACGACGACAGCAGCAACAACAGCAGCAACAACAACAAGCAACAAACAACAAACACCAAGAAATAACGACAACAATCCGCACCGCAGAGCCTCACTTCAGCCACGCGCCCAGGGACAGTGATTGACCGTTCGGCCCCCCTCACTCCGAGAGGTATTTCAGCACGGAGAAGAAAGAAGGATGAGGATGAGGAGAAGGAGGAGGAGGAAGAGGAGGAGCTGGATGATGATGATGATGATGATGATGATGATGATGATGATGATGCTGCTGCTGCTGCTGATGTTGATGCTGATGCTGATGATAATGATGCTGATGATGGTGATGGTGATTGTGATGATGATGATGATGATGATGATGATGATGATGATGATGATGATGATGATGATGATGATGATGAATGATGATGATGATATGATGATGATGATGATGATGATGTTGATGGTGATGATGCTGATGATGACGATGATGATGATGCTGAGGATGATGATGATGATTGATGATGACGACGATGATGATGATGATGATGATGATGATGATGATGATGATGATGATGATGATGATTATGATGATGATGATGATGATGATGATGATGATGATGGAGGAGGAGGAGGAGGAGGAGAGGAGGAGGAGGAGGAGGAGGAGGAGGAGGAGGACGCGGGCGACTAGCAGCGGCCACGGCGGCGGCGGCGGCGCCGAGCGACGAACGACCGCCGCGAAGGCCGCCCAGAGGAGCTCGCCGAAGGCCACTCGAGGGCCCTCGCCCACCGAACGCCCGCAGAGAGCGCCGCCGCCGAGGGGCCGCCAGAGGGGCCGCCAACGGCGCCTTCGAAGGGCCCGCCGAGCGCGCGAGCGCGCGCCGACGGCGCGCCGACGGCGGGCCGACGACGGCGCCGTCGACGGCGCCGTCGGCCGCCGAGGGCCCGCAGCGAGGCGCCGCCCGTTCGGGCCCCGCCCTGCAGGGCTCCTCGCGGGCTCTTTCGGGAACTCCGTGGGGGATCTTGGCGTCGCTCGGACGTGCGCCTCAGTGTTCGACGAGGCCAACGCCCGCAGAGCTGGATCATAGCTTTGAGCATCTGGGGCCGTCTCGAGGAAGGAGCGCGCGCACAAAGCCGAAACGTGCACGGGGAACGGACGTCTGGGCGATGGCAAGCCAGGGGGCTCAGAGGGGAGCCAGAGACCCCCGCCAGCGAGAACCCATTGGTCGGAGGACCCACCACTGGGCGGTGGCACGCCTGAGCGTCGTCTGGTACTGGGTGGCGCTCGGGCGTGCCACCGCCCAGGGGTCGCTGTCCGCGCAAATGCAAGCACCAGCGACACGCAATAAACCACATCTCTCTGCACGTCAGGCGTTACCTGGGTCGTGGTTGCAACCCAGAGCTGATTCGAGCAGCCGTGGACAGGGAGATGAGCACACTGCAAGCAGAGTCTAGGTTTTCCAACCGCGCGGCCTCCTCGAGCCAAGCACGCATGCTTTTTGTCAAATGCACTTCTGACCTGAGCTCGAACGCTTTGCGGAGAGTCATGGGCATTTCCCCGTTCTCCCAGCAGCCGCTGGCCCAAGATTCACGATGGGAGTGCAGAGAAACATGTTTCAACCTCGCGTGTACTTGTGGCCTCGATCGGCCAGCAGGGTGGATGAGCTTTTTCTTTCGTGAGCCCCCCACTCTCTGCTCCGCCTCTGGCCCCATCGTCGACGATGCTCCTTCGATGCTGCACCGAAGGCAATGTGGCCCGAAGAGCCCCTAGGGAGCGAAACGTGTAGCCTCTGTCGGTTTTCACTTGGGACTTGATCCAAAGCAAGAGGCCACCGCCTCCGAGAACCCATGGGGGGTAAGGACCCACCGCGCATGGGGTTGTCCCCCTTCCCCCCCGCCCCGAACAGGCTGGCGGTGGCTGTGGTCTCTGTTTCTCCACTGCAGGGTTTTCCAGCCTCAGGGTGCTTTCCAGCAGCTGCTCGTCGGCTCGCCCTCGAGGTTTTGGGGCGCAAATTCGCAGACCCCCAGGAAGGTTTCCAGCCTCGGGGACTTTACACCATCAGCGGCGTCTCGCCGAGGGCGTTCCAGGGGTGCCCGAATCGTCCTGATCGGGCGCTGCCGACCCGAGCTACGGCCCGAAAGCCACGCCGTGAAGCGGTCCAGGCGTGCTCCGGACAGTGCCGTGGACTGCGCCTTGGCGCGATGGCGTGCGCGGCAGAGGGCGCACGGCCGCGCGACAAGCGGTTTCGCCGCGCCGTGGAATGCGCTTTTCGGAGCAGTGGGATGCCTTGTGGGTGGCGCTGCTGCCCCGAGCGGGCGGCGTCACGCTGCAATCGAGGCGCTCTCGCACGCATTGCTGCAGCAAGTGCGCGGGTGCCCTCGAGCTCGCTGCTAGGATGGCCACGTTTGGCCTGTGGGGACCCTCGTGTTCTTCGGCACCGCCTGTACTCTGAGCCCGCCGACCGCCTGAGGCCCTGCCCGCCCGCGCCCTGTCTCCCCAATTAGGGCTACTCGCGTCCCGTTTAGCTCTTGACCGGAAGAGGCCCGCTCCCGACCCGCAGACCAAAAAAGTGGGGACCCTCGTGCCCCAGGGCCCAGGGGCCCAGAGTCGAGGGCGCCAGCCGCTGGCGGGCCGTCGGCCGACGGAGCCGCCCAGCGGCCGTCCGCAGGGGTCGGCGGCGGGCCCCAGCGGGACGTCCTGCGGGCTCGTCCTCGTCCTCGACCTCGACCTCGTCCTCGTCCTCGCTCGTTCTCCTCCTTCCTGCTTCCTCCCTCCTCCCTCCCTCCCTCCCTCCCTCCTCCACCTCCCTCCGCCTCCCTGCCTCCTTCCTGCCTCCTCCCTCCTCCCTCCCTCCCTCCTCTATCCTTCTCCCCGCCTCCCTCCTCCCTCCTCCTCTCCTCCTCCCTGCCACCTCCCTCCTACGTCGGCGGCCCGCCGATGGCCCCCGCTGACGGGGCCGCCCAGGGGCCGCCGCGCGCGCAGGCTGCGCGGGCTGCTGCGGCCCGGTGGCGTGCTGGCGTTGCTGGGCAAAGAGCCCGAGGAGCTCCGCGCCGATGGCCACGCTGCGGCAGGAGGAGGAGGAGAAGGAGGAGAAGGAGGAGCAGGAGCAGGAGCAGATGCAGGAGCAGGAGGAGGAGCAGGAGCAGGAGGACCATGATGATGACGATGATGATGATGATGATGATGATGATGATGCTGATGCTGATGCTGATGCTGATGATGATGATGATCATGGTGATGATGATGCTGATGATCATGGTGATGATGGTGATGACGATGATGATGATGCTGATGATGATGGTGATTGTGATGGTGATGGTGATGATGATGCTGCTGCTGATTATGATGATGATTATGATGATGGTGATGATGATGATGATGATGCTGATGACGATGACGTGGAGGAGGACCAGGATGAGGATGATGCTGATGATGAGGATGATGCTGATACGGATGATGATAAGTATGCTTATGATGAGGATGGTGAGGATGAGGATGAGGATGCGAATGAGGATGAGGATGATGATGGTGATGATGATGATGATGATGATGATGATGATGATGACGATGATGATGAGGAGGAAACTTGGGATGATGATGATGATGATGATGATGATGATGATGATGATGATGATGATGATGATGATGATTATGTTAATAATGCTGATGATGATGACGATGCTGGTGCTGATGGTGATGTTGTTGATGATGCTGATGATGATGATGCTGGTGCTGCTGCTGCTGCTGATGATGATGATGATGATGATGCTGATGCTGACGCTGATACTGATGATGATGATGATGCGGTTGATGGTGGCGAATATGATGACGGTGATGGTGATGGTGATGGTGATGACGATGATGACGATGATGATGATGATGATGATGCTGAATCTGATGATGATGGTGTTGGTGATGATGTGTTTGATGATGATGATTGTTATGATGAGGGTGCTGATGCTGATGATGTTGGTGATGCTGCTGATGATGAAGATGATGATTCTGATGATGATGAGGAGGAGGAGCAGCAGCAGGTGGAGTTGGACAAGCGGTTGCAGGAGGAGGAGGAGGAAGGAGGAGGAGAGGAGGACGAGGTCAAGCGGTTGCAGCAAGAGGAGGAGGAGGAGGTGGAGGAGGAGGGAGGCGGAGGAGGAGGAGGAGGAGGATGAGGAAGAGGTGGAAGATCGAGGAGGAGGAGGAGGATAATGTTGGAGGGTGGAAAAGGCTTCGTAGCAGTTTTGGCTCGAGCCGCTCACCAGTGAGCGACAGCGCTATTGCTCAAGCCAGCTCGGCAGGGTCCCCTGCTTTGCAGCTGCAGGACCTGCTCGTTGCGCTTCAGCGGACGGCGCGGCTGGCGGCCTCTTCTTGTGAGGCCGCCGATTCGGCCTTGGCTGGCGCGAGTGAAGCCAGGCGGCACCAGCGCAAGGCTGCCCATGCTTGGGCCCGTTGGTTGGGGGAGGCCTTGCTGCAGGAGATCAAGCGCGAGGTGGCCCTCTATAGATGCCGTTTCGAGGGCCTGTTCGAGCCGCCCGGGGGACCCTGAGATCGCTGACCGCTCGTGGTTGAACGTGCCGCAACTGCTCAAGCACAATGTGTTGTAGGAAAGTCTGGTGCAGTTCACCACACGCAGCTCAAGTCCGACACCAGAATCGCCACTTCAACTCTGAGCTTCCTTGCCCACTGAGGCATAAGACCACCTCC